GTTCAATCGGTAACAAACGGCACCCGTCGGTTCAACCCGATTTTCCTTATTTCGCACGTATTAAGGTTTTCACTTACCATTCACTAACTTATTATTACTACTTCTAATCACACACTTTATCTTATCTAAAACTCACTCTTAATCATCAAATTTAGTACACACTCCGTATCAGGTACTCACACGACGAAAAGACGTAAAAACCTTAGTTTACCCTAACGATGAATGAAAAGGAAAAACTTTTAATTCTATTCTTTATTCCAAACATTGGAGATGTAAATGAGTAGTATAGCTATTATAAGGGAATAAATGCCAAAGAAAAAGGAATTTTAAAAAAATATGAGGGATTTTACAATTCCATAGATTAAAATTAGGGTTTTGATTAAAATGTGAGAGATTTAAGAAAACCGGTTAGTCACAAGGGAAAACTAGGGTTTTGAGTACAAGTAGGGTTTCTAGTCTTTAAAACAAAACAATGTTTTAAAATAAAAATAAACTAAAGAAACCGTAATATCCTCTTTGAGACTAAACAAAAATATTATTCTAAAAGTCGGGGTATCACATTATACAAGAAGTAATTTTTTATAAAATGTCTAAAGAAGAATTTTGCTACTTATTAGCAGCCGTAGGCATGTTATAGAATTATCATTCATGTATAGGGATTAAAATTAGCTCTATTATCCACAAATACACATTTCCATGTCATAAAGAATCAATTAAATATTCAACAATACCTAATATTATAACATGAGAGACATGACATTAAAATTATAAAAATTTTGCCAAAAATTGTCAAAATCACCAATTTATTAAAATAGACAATAAATATGTTCCAATTCATGAATTTGGCAATAACCAAGTTTAAAACAAATATTAATTAACAACAATACATACAATGCCATTTTGATAAAAAATAATTAATTAGCAACAATAAATCATATTTAGCCATAAACATGATTAAACAAAAATTATCACAAAAATCACAAGATTCATCGAAATTACTCTTTATACACAATGTACATGTTAAAACATCATCAACCAACCATTGTTAGTTATAATCAATAATAAAAAGGACTCAAATAATAATCTAAGTTACTTTTTAAATTTTATCAAAATATAGCAATTTTAAAATTTAAACAACTAATAAAACATCAAATTGCTACATTTGAATATGTAGACATGCTTAAACAACCTTAATAAACATATTATTGGCCAAAAATATCAATAAACATCATCAAAAATTTGAAATTAGAAGATGTCAGAAAATTTAGGAAATTAAAAAATACTAACTTCTAAAATACAAAGATTTGATGTAGAAACTTATCTCAATCACATAGAAGAATATTTAGAGAAGAAAATTATGTAAAAAAAAAATTCTATAAGAAACACCTCAATTGACCTCAAATTGATAAATTTAAGAGTTAAGAACCCTAACCTCCAATTTCTTAAAAATCAAATTTTGGGTTGTTTTTCTTGGATTTCAATTAGTTAAAAAGACTCTTGGAAGGTTAAAAGGTATTGGGTTGATGTTTGCTTCCAAAGAAATGGAGTAAAAATGAAGATTTGTGATGTGTGTGTGGTAGTGTGTGAGAATACGTGGCCTTGATGAGAAGAAGAACAACAACAACAATAAATCCACTTTTCATGCCTTTAAAAGAAGTATTGAAAACGCTGCATGAAAACGTGGTCTTGAACTCACGTTTTTAAACTCGCATTTTTCGGTTTAAATTTACATAAGACAAAATGCGAGCTCAAGAAAACGTGACCTTAGATCGCGTTTTGCTGTCCACGTTTCCTATTAAAAAATTGGAGAATGCAATATGCGACTATGAAAACGCAACCTTAAGTCGCTTATTGAACTCGCATTTTCTTCATTCTGCATTTTTTCTGCAGAAATTTCTAACTTTTTAAAAATTATACTTGTTGCCCCAATTGCTCAAAATACATCCTAAATCATTCTTTTGTCAAAATAATCAATACGCACACATGTAAAATGATCAAAACATACATTTTACCCCTTTCTAATAAAGCAAAAATAACATTTGCTTAAATTGAGGGTTGAATTCCTTGATCAAAGTTTGTTTTTTTCATCTCAAATGGCTTTAGAATAATATCCTTATCAAGCCAATATTTGATCTTATCTTTATAAATTTTGGTATTTTCATAAGCATGTAGTCGATGTTCCTCTAATTCACTTAATTCAAGCAATCTTCTTCCACCTGCAAGATTAAAATCCATTTTAATTGGTTTAATCGCCCAATATATTTTATGTTCAATTTCCACAGGTAAATGACAAGTTTTTTCATAAATCAAACGATACGGAGATATCTCCAATAGTGTCATAAATGCCGTCCGATAAACCCAAAGTGTATCATCCAATTTTTTTGTAATTTGTTCACCGTTTTCGTCAAGATGAGCTTGATTTTTCAATTTGTTAACTCCGCTTGTCTATTTGCTTGGGGATGGTATGGAAGTGAATTCTTGTACCTACAACCATACTTAAACAATAAGAAATCAAATTATTTATTATAAAAATGCTTTCCTTCATCACTTACAATGACTTTAGATATACCAAATCTACTAAAAGTGTTCTTTTTAAGAAATCGAAGTGCTAACTTAATGTCATTAGTAGGTAAAGTGATTGTCTCCATCCACTTGGAGACATAATCTACGGCTACTAAAATGTACTTATTATTAAAAGAATTAGGAAACAGTCCCATAAAATCTATCCCTCAAACATCAAACAATTCAACTTCTAGGAAAATGGTGAGAGGCATTTCATTTTTTCTTAATATGTTCCCAGTTCTTTGACAAGTATCACAATTTTTAACATATTCTCTAATATTCCAGTATATTATTGGCCAATAAAACCTCGATTGTCATACCTTTGCTATGATTTTTGAAATACTAAAATGATCACCTGTTTTTAAGTTATGACAATGACATAAAATATCACGTACCTGGCTCTTGGGAATTCAAATACGTATCATACCATCGACACAATACTTATAAAGTAGTGGTTCCTTCCAAAAGTAATTTTTCACATCATGCAAGAATTTCTTCTTTTGGTGATCATTAAAATCCTTTGCCATTATTCCACATACCAAATAATTGGCAAAATTTACATACTACGGAGAATTAATAATTGCTATGTCAAATTCATCTGAAAAATTTTCTTTAATTGGAATTTGATCATTGGTATGGATGTACTCTAGTTATGATAGGTAATCCGCCACAAGGTTTTTCGATCCTTTTTTATTTTTTATTTCCACATCAAATTCCAACAATAAGAGAATCCATCGGATTAGACGAGATTTTGCATCTTTCTTATGGAACAAATATTTAAGAGTTAAATGGTCCGTATAAATGATCACTTATCTAAAACAAATATCACCGTCAATAGCTCTTTCTCCGTGGTTGCCTAATTAAGTTATGTTTCATTAAGCAACTTGCTTGCATAATAAATGACATGCAACTTTCTATTCTTCTTTTGACATAAAACAGCTCCAACTGCGCAGTTGTTTGCATCATACATCAATTCAAATGGTAGCGACCAATCTGGTAAAATTATAATGGGTGCAGAAGTTAATTCCTTCTTCAACCTATCAAAAGCAGTTAAACATTTGTCATCAAAATGAAAAGGAGTATTTTTACATAATAAATCACACAATGGTTTACCTATCTTAGAAAAGTCTTTAATAAATATTCTATAAAAGCCAGGGTGTCTAAGGAAGATCCTTATTCTCTTGACATTACTTGGATGTGGCATTCGTTCGATAATTTCTATTTTCGCCGTGCTATATTTATTTGTGATCCTTGAGTCCATGGTAGAGCAAAATTTTTAAGAGATTGTCTATTTGTTTCGTTTTTTGTCATTTCTTTTTCGAAAGGCAACTTTATAGCGATTTCCTCGATATGTTGAATCTCTTCTTCCTCTTGTGGTATATGCCTTCTTTGTCGTCTTAGTATCCTTTTAATTTTCGGATCAAAAGATGCAACTACACGTAACTCCTGATGCATATACTACAAGTTATAAGAAATGAGATAATGTAGTAGTTATAACGCAAAAATAAATAAAAATTCTAACCTATCTATCGACATAATTCAAATAACTAATAAAGAAAATGTCTAAATTAATAAAACTTGTTAGATCCTAATATTGCCGCTTTCCGATAACGGCACCAAAAATTTGACGAGTTCTCAATTTAAGTGCAAGTTAATCCAAAATATATCCATTTGACTACAAGTATACAGGTCAAATTGTATTTTAGGACATATATTGGGTTAATCCCATGAGGAACAACTATTACAAGTATTAGGTCCTTTACTTGCTCTATTATTTAGACTATCTATCAAATAAAGGTAATAGAAATAACAATATTTACTAACTATTTTAACTAAATAACTTGCAAGATAACAATGGAGAAATGTCGCTAAATACTTGAGTTAGAAAAATAGAGTCCACTTATTGCACAAAAGATACAAGTGAATAGATTTACCTTTTGTCACTACTCTTATTTAACTAGAGATTCATTTTCAAATTTACCAAAACTCACTCTCATGATCTAGTGGCTTAGAATAGTTTAGTTTTCCTTATTCTCATGGTGAATAACTAGATCTACTTTTTTGTTCTTCATGAAATATAAGGTTAATCCACTTAAGTGTATCTATATTCTCATGAGTCTACTTCTTAAACTTGATTTATGTTGTTCCATCATTATTACCAATTTTCATTGAATAAAAATAACTAAAAACTTACTGTTGGTGATGAAGTAATAACAAGTAATAAGCATACATAAATGGATAAGTTAATACAAGAGGTAGCAAATATAAATCATATTCAACTCATATCAATAGTTATAAGTTTCATCTGCTGCCTAGATCTAGAAATTTAGTCACTTATGTGATATAAGACCAAAAAGAGCACAATTGCATTGCATGCAAACATAACGAATCACAATTAAAGAGAAAAATAGAGAAAGCTTAACCAAGGTGATGAACAAGATTCCAATCTTCTATTTTTTACAACAAAATGAGTGATACAATGAGTTTTTCAAAATTTTCTTATAAGTTTCTAGCTAAAGAAACAAGAAAATACTACAACTAATTTCTACCAAGAAATAGCAAGAATTTCCAAGAACCGCATATAATGATTCTTACATATATAATATTAGGAAAGTCAAAAAGTGAAAAATGATATGACATAAACCTCATTTTTTTTCCTAAGGAATCTTGAGCATGTGCAGCCAAAATTTTGAGCTAAAATTGAGTTGAAAAGCAGTGTAAAAACAGAGCAAATTGCATAACAAGTTACAAAAAAAAAGGCACAATACGTGACCTAAGCCCACATATTCGAGGTCCCGTATGGCTTTCAGGTACATTTTCTTGCTTCTTTTCTGCTCCAGTTGATCACTATCATCACATGCAAGATGTCCAAGTGCTTGTTCATGCATTTCACCAATAATACTTGCATTTGATGCTCTTCCACTTCCCAAATTGCTGTTGAGTCAAGCACTAATAAGTTTGAATTGAATCCATCTCGATCCAACGTTGGTAATTTACCTCAATTCCTGCAAATATAACCAACTTTGCATATTAAGTTGCTCAGTTAAAACTCACAAAATTTAGAAATTTAGAGAGCAAGTTACATCTTAAAACATCCTAATTTGTAAAAAAAATAACACAAAATGCTACTTAAAAACACTCATAATAAACACTTATCAGCAGCATTCAACAATAAATTGGTACAGTAACTAGATAAAAACTTCAGTTATCATTAACTGAAAATTTTGACAAGAAAAAGTCTTAAAATCTGAATATCACCCACCAACGTGCCCTTGTTCCTATCGTGCGAAGTGGTAGAGCAGTCACATTTCCAAGTACCGTCTCGTGTGGTAGATCTTGCTGCAGTTGTAGCCGTTCGGACCTCCAAGATAGTGCATGCACTCCTTCAAGCATTTGGTCTTCCTCATCCTCAATCGAGGGATTAACCATGGGAGTCTGACTGTATCTAAGGCAACAACGATCTTTAAACGTCAAGAAAGGAACATGAACGGGAACACGGTCGATTTTCATCTGAAAAACAGGTGAAAAGCCCATCCAGATCCCTAGAAAGTTGTAGATATGAGTAAGGTCATCCTCAAACTCATTTTTCGATTGAAATGATGCATGTAGCGTAGTAGCAAACGTATAGCTGAATATGAGTATGGGAGTATGATGCGAACCAGATTCCCCAAATTTTCGCTCTTGAAAAAATGAATTGCATAGGCAGCGGAAGGATCTATCTTGATTAAATTATAGAACAAAGTCGATAAAAAACCTCGACCCCTCTAATCCCTGAAGTTTTGAATCTTGAATTTAATTGTGACTCACAACTTAACGAATTAGCGAACCAAGACTTATTAGTAGAACGTCACCACAATTAAATGTGGTCTTGAATTGATAAGTCAAAACTTGAACAAAGGAGACATGTCTCACTTTGGATCAACGAACGTTCCCAAGGAACAAGAAAGAGAAAACTCTCAAATTTTATTTATCATCTGACTTGACTATAAAAATCGTTGACACTTGAGGCTTATTTATAACTTTTTACAAGACTCAAAGATTTAAAACAACTTGAAAACAATTAACTACTTTCCTAAAACTCTAATTCCACTAGAATAATAAATTAACTAACTCAAATTGGCTTAACTATAGTCAACATGATCTTAACCTTTATTGTATGAAACTAACGACTCAACATTAACTAATTAATTACCTACTATTTGTTGGAAATAGCGAAATACATATGGCTGAATGTCGCGCCCCACTTTTCGAATGAATGAATCGTGATGTGTGTGTGAAGTGTGGTGTGAACGTGTGCAAAATGAAAAGTAAAAAGGCCATGGGACTTTGGAAAGCGACGATTTGGCCAAATGAAATTTTAAAAAGGGTTTTTTAAATATGAAAACGGAGTCGCCACTTGGTATAGATTTGGGGTGTACCAAGTCACCCAAAAAGTGTTTTTTAAAGACAAAGTAGTAAAACCCTTTTTAAAACGACTCCTAGTCCACGTAAGCCAAAGAAAAAGGTTCGGGGGTCACGTTTGACAAAGGGGAAGGCAAGGATAGAATCCAAGGCACCCCTTTGACCTAGCCAAGGCTAGTTGCGCGACTCAAACCAATTTTTCCTAATATTTCTACCCAAGGTATGTATCGCGTATTGGATATGTCTATATGAATGCAAAAACCTAGACCTAGGGGGATTGGGGGAAATTTCTCTTCAAAGGTTGAGTGGTGCCAATCACATTAATTGTGAAGCCCAATAATGATCCTTTTGAAGAGGTCACACCTAAACCCAAATGACGTGAAAAATGAGTGGAATGCATGCCATGTGAAAGTGTGAGTTTGTGTGAAGTGAGAAAAATGATAAAAGTAATAAGATAAGAGTGAAGGTGTGCAAATGTAGATGAAAGTACTCATGTGCGAGTGAAGATAAAATGCTCGTGTGCAAGTGGGGACAAAAAAGGTGTTCGTGTGCAAGTGAAGGTGATATAAAGGTGCATGTGTGCAAATGAGACAAAAGTGAAAGTGTAATGATAGAGTGGATTGAGAATGCACGAGCCTAGGGAATTCATGCATATTGGGTACGGGGGGACCTAAATCGTGACTTGATTTTCCCTTTGATTAGAAGGCGAAACTAGCGTGCTAAGGCTATCGAGTAGCCACACTCGCTCGTTTCCCTTATCAAGAGGGGACACTCAAGCAAAATGAACCCTATAGCTAGTATGGGATGCAAAACCTAAAGTGAGGGGAAAGGGGAATCGAGGAGCATGCCAGATGATAAAACTAAGAAAAAATGTATGATATGTAGTGAACAGGCAAATAATGCATTAATGAAAAATAAAGGAAAAATTCTATTGGGTCTAGCGTTGGACTAGCCCTTTCTATGAATTCCTAATGAAATAATGAGCCACAACTAGCGTTGGACTAGTGTGGTGACGTACATTCATCCATTCCATTCATTCATGGTTATGAAAGCAAGTAGACATGCCAAAACGCTCGTAAACACGTAGCATGTAGCACTTAGCATGCTCGACTAGATGCAAGAGCCTACTAAAGCAATTTAACATGTAACAACAAAAGCAAGCAACCAAGGGGAAGAGGAAATGGACCAGATGCTCTACGAGCCCTATCTATTACAAGCCAAGAGGTGTACACATACCCCATAAAAGCATAAAGGGGAAGGGGAAATAGACCAGATGCTCTACGAGCCCTATCTATTACAAGCCAAGAGGTGTACACATACCCCATAAAAACTTAAATAAAAGTAAAGATAAGTAAATGCATGCAAGGAGGTAAGGAAAGCGAAGTAGACAGGCATATTCACATAACACATAGGAGCACGTAGGGTCAAATGAAGTGCAAATATAAGGGATAGAGTGTACCTCCCTTGAATCGACGCCCTAATGAAGTGAACTTACTAATTTACCCTCCAAAATAATAAAAAGGTCAAGGTACCACTTAAATTATCAAAATCAGATGAAATGAAAATAAATATGAAATAATCATGAAATTGAATCAAACAAAACATTCAAATGGAAGTGAACGACCCTTATTCATCAAATTGAACCCAACAAAGACCCATTTGAGGGAATCGAAGAAGTTTCAAGGACCAATGTATTATTACCAAAATTAAGGGTCTAAAAGGAAATGACTTGAAATTAGAACCTTAGGTGGAACCTATCCCAAGCCGAATGGAAAATTTCTCAAAAAATAAAGAAAAACTAATTTCCCATGATTAAACGACAAAAATTCCAGAATTCACCAAGAAAAATCAAATCACAACCATTAATCTAGAACAAGTTATTAAATCCTTCAAATTCATCCTAAAACCCATTAAGAATCTATACAAAAAATCAGGCTAAGACATATTAAAGAAAAGAGAAAAAAAACAACATGTTGAGGGAACAAAATTGATTTAGCTATCCAATTAATTAGGCCATAGTGAAACAAAAGGGAACTTGGAGGATTGGAATGCAATTGTTTTAGGACCTAATTGTAAGAACAAAACACATAAATGGGCCTTTGAAGCATTACTAGAGACTAGAGGGAACAAAGTATAATTTTTCCTTCTTGATCATGCATGCAGCTACGTAAGAAAACAAAATTTTCTGCAACTAAAAAAACTGCCGCCTCTTCTCAAGCTTGTGGCAATTTCCAGCAACAACTCATTCATTTCATCATACAAACAATTTCATCAAACCAGAAATTATTTGACCCAAATCAAAACATGAAATTTTGTTTGCGGGACTAAGATAGCAAAACTGGTTTTGATCAACAACAAAAAAACAAAAAAAAAAGAAAAAAACTGCAGCAAAAAAAAACTTTCAAATGGCAACTCTAAAACCAAGTAGACCTGCTGCATTTTTACCAAAATCACACTTCAAATGCAGACTTTAACCGAAATTTCCTTGATCTAACATCCCAACTTTGAACTAAACAAACAAAACATGACTTTGACATCCAAACAAACAAGAAAACATGGAAAAGAAACTGGTGCAAAAGATCTCGACCCTGTCGTCCAAACTAGCAAGAAAACATAGCAGAAATTTGTTCGGCAGCCCGCTGGCTAGTTTCTCAGCTAGATGCTCAAACATGACCCAAACATGCAAACATGCAATCTTAACACCAAAAATCCCATTGCCTCCCTTCCAATACCAGATTAAGCATGAAAACTGAAGTGCAAAAAATCAACTAGTAATCAAGGGAAAAGAAACATGGCAGAGAAAAGAAAAATGCAGCAGCTTTTGCTTGCTGCGTTTTTGAAAGGAGGAACTTTAAAACTTGGTGACTTCAGCAATTTCATACCATGAATTTCCAACAAACTTTTAGACTCAAAATACATCAGAAATGATCTATATTCATGCTAAAATCTGACCCAAACCAATCAAAACCAAGTCGCAAACATCAAAACATTTCTGCGTTTTCTAGACTGCAATATTGCTGCGACTTCAAGAAACTTTCGGCCAACCAGATTCATGCATTTTCTAGCTAAGTGTTTGATCAGTAATCCAAACGTGCAAATTAGCATGCCCCTCAAGTGTAAGGATCAATAAACAGCCATAGCAAAAGGAAGAAAATAGCAGAGAAAACACGACATCGTCTGTCTTGCAGCAGCTTCCAACTTGTGCAGGTTAAATGCCGAAACATTGTTGTCATCGTGCAAACATTTCATATTCGTGCCCAACCAGCAAAACACGCATCTTATACCTATTACTACAAGAAAACCAGCATAAAGGAAAAAAAATACGAATCCACAGAACAAAAGCAATCAACGAAACAAAGGGTCAAAAGTTCAATTTGCTGGAATTTGCGTGCTATTTTTCTGATTTCTGCTCTCATTCCTCACATGAACACCAACCACAGAACCAACCTATGCCGTGACCTGACTAGGGAAGTAAACCTCTAGCCTCAAACCAGCCTAAACTTACAAGATCCTTTACACCCTTAGCCAAATTCAAGAGCATAAGAGACCCATAGCAACGGATGTAACGTAGAAACTCATACATTTTTCTTATTTGATAAAGCCAAGGTAACCGAGGAGCAAACAGATTAGAAGATGTTACCTTTGGCCTTCTGAAGGGCAAATCGAAGCCTGAAAAGGTCGAAAGAAAGGATCTTTGCTCGGTTGGAAGCCTCCTCTCGGACGGATTCCTTTCTTCGCCTCAGCTTCTCTTGATACTCAATCTCCTGCGAAGTTCACTTTCTCCAGTCCGTCACTTTCCTCTCCGTCGCTCTCAGACCTCTCCTTCTAGCTCCCTCACTCTTGCTCTCTTTTCTTCTGCCCGTCCATGCTCTCTCCCAAAAAAAACCTCCTCCAAGAGCTGCGTTTTTCTATCTTCTCAAACCCCTCTCCCATCCTCCCTTGCGGCTCTCCTTTTTTTTTTCTATTTATATCCCAGTTCAACCCTAAAACACTCAGCAATCTCTTCAAATATTGCAGCCCAAGGGGCTCACCGAGGCCCTCTCTTGCAAGCTGCAAAAACGCAGCTTGCAAGTCGCGTTTCTCTCTTTTTTTCTTTTTTTTTTTTTTTTTTTTTTTTTAAAACTGAACTTAATAATTTAATAAATACAGAAATGATAAAATATAAATAATAATAATAATAATAAATTGCCAAAAACCAGGTAATAATAACAATAATAATAACGAAAATAATTTAAAAACTAAACAACTAAAAACAACAAAAATGACCATTTTTCCATCTCTTTTTGTTTCATTTTTCATTTTTCCCAAAATAACTTAATAAAAATAACTAAAGTGCCCAAAGATTGAATTTAAAGAAATAAACATATTTTTTGTGAACAAATTTTCCTTTTTTTTCTTCTTCTTTTTTTTCAAAGCATTATTTGAAACAAAATAATAACAAAAACATTAAACTTGAATTTAAAAAAAATATTTTTTGTGAGTGGTTTTTCCTTTTCCTCTTTCTCTTTTTTTTCATTTTTCCAATCCAACTAAAGCCTATTTTTTGAATTTTTCTTTTCAAGAAAGCATTGAATAAAAACAACATATTTTTGATTTTTTCCTTTTCTTTTCTCTAAAAACTCTACGCTAATTCTAAACTTAAAAGCTAAAACTAAAAATTAAAACTAAAAGTAAACAACGAATGCAAACAATCATGAAATAGATGCCACATAAAATTATTCAAAATTTGGTATCTACAGTTTGCCCCTCTTTGTCTGAGTTTTGAAAAAATTTGAGGCAAAGAAGTAGACACCAAATACTTACCTGTGTTGTTGGGCTGCAAAAGACGCTTCTGAAATGAGGACTGACCTCTTTAACAATTTTTTGAGAAATGGTATTGACCCAAACAGGAATTTAAATGGGACTGAC